ACAGTAGAACCCCGATTATCCGTGCGCGAATTATCCGGGATGCGGATTATCCGTGCCATGCTTGCGCGTTTTTGAAATTACATTTTTAAAGTTTTAATTGAAATACCATTGCCGTAAATCACTTGACGAGAATTTTCGCTAGTCCATGAGGGAGACGCAGGCTGTAATACCGAGTGCGCGCATGCTCAGAGAATTATCTTTCATCAGCCGATGCAGGTTAAGCGGAATTTAGCCATTTAGCATTATAGCGCATTTGACTGCGTGCTACATGTAAGTTGCAACTGTACTTGTATTAGACCTTATCTAGAATTCTGTTTTTTTTCATTGTGTTATGAACTTTTTTGTAGAATTTATTGTACATACCTTAATTTGATTTTTTTCTTATATTTTTAGTATACATACGTATGCCTACCCTAAGAAACAATAAATTGTTTGGATTATCCGTGCTTTTCAATTATCCGTGCGCCATCCGGTCCCATTGAGCACGGATAATCGGGGTTCTACTGTACAACTAAAGGTATGCGTATGCAAAATCTGAGACCAATTGGTTGTCCTATGTAAAAGTGATGCATGTTTCACTTTCAAAAATAGCATCTCAGGAAATAATTCGGTGGGAGGTCCCCCTTTTAGACAGCGAAATTTGATGGCCGTCTGGCACACCTTCAAGGTATAGGCTACCTACTGCAAAAAATTCCAGGACCCTAGGACCATTCCCCTAGAAGTAGTTCGAAACAGCAGAAGTGGGTCCAGACGGACAAAACCCAAACAATAGCACATTTTTCGCTAAAAAGTTAGCATTGCACATGCGTTAAACCAAATTTTTAACACTGCGCATGCGCAAAACCAAAAATATCGATGTGCACGGAATACTTGGCTCAAGCCCTTTCAAATGAGCCCCATATCGCCCAAATCGGTTCTGTGGTGTAGATGGAGTACATATGACGGACGGACGGACGATATAGCGATTTTTCACTTTGAGGAAAATACGCTAAAAACTTACATAGGTAATTATCGGTCTTAATTCAATAAATTTTAAAACTATAGCGTTTACTCGATAACCCGGAAATGATTGAGTTTTGGACATTATGCTTCTTACAAATTATGTTTAAAATTGGAAGTAGAATTGAAATATTGAGTGGTGTTCCATTTAAAAAAAATGCAATTGTGGCGTGCCATGTATAATTAAAATAATTACTGCCTAGTAGACATTGAAGAACCCTAACACGTTTGTATAAAATTGTTTTTGATATCTTGTATATTTTCCTCAATAATTGAATGTTTCAAGACTAATCAGCAACCCTGTATATTATTTAGCATTTCTACATTTCGCCAGAATAATGGTGATCGTTGACGTAGGATGTTACACCTGGTATTTCTAGTAATGTCCTAAATTTAAATTAAATACAGACTAAACTATTTGTAGTGGTGACTCATAGCTAACTATCCAATGTCCTGTCAAAACACCCATTATGGCTGATTCCTACTCACTTCTAGGAATTTTGTGGCTGCCTTAAGATATTTTTAAGTTATGGGACAGCTGTTCGTACCATTTTAACGTGAACTGAGTACAAACCCCGACAGTGACTAATGCACGTCTGTGCTCACCTGTCTACATTTTCATTGCCCGCAATGCTCTGCTGGATTGATATTAAAATAAATTTACCTCATTTGACTCCCTTACTCTTTCCAAGGCTTACTTTTAGGCCAGGACTACTGCTGAGTTGCACCTGACCATAATGGGGTCTTTGCACTGTCTGTCGGATGTCACTGCACGTGTAGATCGTGTAATAGGTAGGTAGTAAGTAAGAAAAAAATTTTGATGGAAAGGACCCTTTTTTTCGGAATAATCCAAAAGTTTGGGAGCAATACACATGTTTTTATTTTATTTTATTGTTGAGTGGGCGGGGTTTCAGCTAAGGCTGCTCTACCAACCCAACCCACTATACATTTACAAATATTCATGCCCAAACCCGGATTCGAACCAGGGACCCTTAGAACCACAGTTCAGCTTTAACTGAACTGCGCCACACGGGCAACCACAACACATAGCAGGATGTAAATAATTGATTTTTTTCAAGTATGATTCTTTCTAAAATTTTCAAAATTCTCTACCTAAGACCCATCAGGAATGCGAAAATATTTCCAGTTTCGACGAAATCTTCCCAGGTCCAGATAGCTGTCTCCAAGAAGTTTATGTCTGTCCCTGATCAATGACAGACCACAAGCTTGGTAGTTTCATCTGCTATATAAAAAAAAAGGAGCTGGATGAATATGTGTGCATTAACTAAAAAATAATCATTATCCAACCAAAAACTAAAATACGATATAAAGGAAAATGTATTAACATATCGGCATAAAGCTCTTCCAAACACTGCTTATCAATTATCATAAAAAATACGAATAGAATAGAAAAGAAGAACAAAAAAACATATGTAGGTAAACTAAGTAATCTAAAAAATATGTCGTATACATGAACTATTCATATGTATTATAGCTAGGCATGGGAATTTTTTTCGATATATCGATAGGTATCGATAGTTATCGATATATGGAATAACAATAGGTGGAGCTAAAAAAATCGATATATCGATACCTATCGATATGTCGATAACTATTGATATATCGATATGTCGATAACTATTGATATATCGATATGTCCATAACTATTGATATATCAATATGTCGATAACTATTGGTACAATAAAATTATGTTATTGTTGAGATTTCAACGAGCGCTACTATTTTTATTAATAAAACCCATTTTCGGGTTTACTCTCGTGTAAATTTACTATTTTTAGTTGCCCGACGTTTCGGAAACTTAACTTTGCTCCCTTTCTCAAGAGAAGCGCTACGTCACATCATCATCCATGCCAAATAAACGCAGTAATAAAATCTTTAGAAAATAGATCTTTTCGTCTCACTGACGATTGCTCAAAAAAAGAAGCACTTCAAAAACTTGAACAAAATGTTGCATCAAAATGGCTACTCTTTAGATAAAATAAAGAAGACAATCAAAGGGTGTCATCATGGCCTATGTATCGGTATCTGATTGATGGTTAGAGAGGACCAGTCACAAACAAACCGAAAAAGCTAAGAACACTTCAAATTTAGATATACAGTTTCAATTGATTAACATTTACGAAATCTAACAAAAAACTCTTGATAAAGGTAGCGAAGAAACGTCGAGTAACTATTAATAGTCACTTTACACGAGAATAAACTGGAAAATGGATTTTATTAATAAAACTCGATAAGATAACTATCCCTGTCGATAACTATTGATACGTCGAATATTTCTCTCAAATGAGGCGTGCAATTACCGCTTAATTACAGCGGTAATTGCATTGTAGAAAGCTAAAGAGCCCTGCGATAATTGCACAGTTAATATGGTAACTCCATTAAAGTTGCAAGAACTGCATTCGGTTATTTTCATATTTTGTTAAAAGAGCCCTCTTGTCTTGTCGGGCTCTTCCGCCAAAATATAAAAGTAAACTCGTGTAGTTTTTAGACACGCTTTCAAAAAAATTATCGGTAATATTATATCGATACCTATATATTAAAAACTATCGCCACAACGAGAACTATCGATATACCGATACTTATCGATATAGCGACAGATATCGATTTTTCGATAGTTATCGGTGTATCGATAACCATCGATATTTCGATAATTATCGGCATATCGATAAGTAAAATATATCGATAGGTAAGTACCCGATACTTATATCGATAGGTGAAAACAGTTATCGCCCATCCCTAGCGATAACTATCGACATATCGATAACTATCGACATATCGATAACTATCGACATATCGATAACTATCAACATATCGATAACCATCGATATTTCGATAATTATTGGCATATCGATAAGTAAAATATATCGATAGGTAAGTACCCGATACTTATCGATAGGTGAAAACAGTTATCGCCCATCCCTAATTATAGCATAGTTTTCAACATGCATGTTACAAAGTTTGCAAATTGTGTACATTGGGGACCTCTTTAATAAATTTGTCTTGGCTGTAGGTAAATAAAACGTATTATTTCCACGGTAGTTCCCTCGAGGAATATGAAAGTTCAACATTCTTAATAAATCCGGTGCATCAATGTCATCATGTAACAATTTATACAGGAACGCAAGACTACATTCTTTCCGACGCAGTTCTAATGACACCATGCCCGACATTGATAGCAGAGCTTGATGATCAAGGTTTCTTTCAGGATATATTCCATGATTTTTATGATATTGAATTCACATTTCTTTTTTATGTCCATTATCAAGGAACCATCAGATCATAGTGTGAAATGGTGCATTATTAATTCCCATCACATTAGCTGGGTCCTACTGATTAAAATTTGGTCTGAAAAAAATTTTTTTTTTTAAATAAATATGATTATAATTATTAAAACTTAGGTGGACCAATGCATTTGTATTATGCCGATATGATACTGCGGAGCACAGTGCTGTTAACCTAGGAAAAAATTGACCACATCAATGGTTACATATATTGTTTCTTGTTTTAGAAACTTTGGGCTCTTTGCGATTTGACTTCGGGACTCTTGTTGACGAAGGCAACCAATTACGATTTAAAAGATTCTCCATCCGAAACGCGTATTCCGACCATGTATTTTTATCCCCAAAGCGATTTCATCAACACGCGCGTTTTCCTTCCGCCCGATCTACAATATCAACCAAACAAGAAAATGGCCATCTCCTTCTCTATGGTCGGTCAAGATAGGCCAGCAAAGAGGACGAAGAATAAGCCAAAGCAGGACCAGTGCAGTCCTTTGGGAACTGATGTAAAGGTAAATTCTTGTTGCAAATGTTGAACAAATGTAGGTAGGCAACATTTTTTGTTTCATTTGCTTTATTTGATTAACACTAACCAGGGTTCAGCGAAAATGGTGATGTGTGTGTGTATCTTTCAAGAACTTCACTTAATCTTTTGGTATGCAGAATTTAAACATGTCGATAGATTTTATTCACTTATCAAGAGTAGTTGTTTAAAATATGTGGCCAATGGTAGGTATTCTGATTCTAAAAGAAGTCTTGTCTATAATCCATTTTAATGTTTAAATTGTCATTTGAAATTTTAAATTCAATACTGTATAGATGCACCAAACTACCAAAACAACTGTATAGCAGTGACTATATCATTAGCAAAACAAAAAGCGATCACATAAACATTAACAGCATGATTGTGCTAGCAAAACTGGGTGCTGGGTGTTGTATAGGCTCTGTTGCATCTATGGCTCATCTTTAATGGGAAAAATGGAACACCCTTTCACTCTGTATGTTTACTTACCATTGACAATATTGAATGTTTATTTGTTTTGATGTTTATTCTATGTCGTTAGTAATTATTATGTTTTTCATTACAATAGCTTTATGCTGGAGGAATTGATGCCCAGGTAAGAATTTTTCTTTATTATTGAGGTTTCATATTTTTTGCAAAATATTCTACCTTGTACCAAATGGAGCCCAGCTATACATAAATAAACTGTTTTTTAATTTCAAAATTCAAAAAATTTAAATTGTTTTTTAGTTTGTTGAATCGTTTTTGAATTTTTTTAATATCCTTGTGTTATATTTTTAAAAGATAATAGACCATCTATTTAGACTCTAGATCTACAAGGTGTTCCATTTCAAAAATTGATAAATTTTTTACCTGGCTCAGTATACAGGCCGTGCGCTATAGCATGCTGAATAAAGGTGCAGATTGAATATGACATCAGCAACTGCCGGAAAATCTTGTTGATTGAAATTCCTACTTTAGTGGCGTTCATTTAAGCGTATCTTGCGCTTATAATATCATGCTCGTTATTATGACTTATGTACTGCACTGGAAATTCTGAAAACACATTGTGCATATCTTCCTAAGTAAATATAGCGTCATTCTATTCCTTACGCTAGCGAAAATATTCAAAGTTTCTTTTTCTTTCTTGTTTTTTTAATAACAAACAATTAAGGATCCTATAAAAGTGTCAAAAATAGGACATCCTGTATAATTCATGTCAGTAGTTGCCATTTTGAATTTCATTTTTTGTGAAACTTATAATGAAAAAGGCATATGTTATTCGAAATGAATCAGTTTCAAAAATTTTTAAACGATAATCGGCACAAAACTGCAAAATATTTAACCTAACCTATCTTCACTAATATCAAAGTTAGCCATGCACCTCACTCGATCTGGAACACCCTGTATGTCACATGTTTTTACAGTCGTCATTATCTAGCATGTCTGTTCATGGTGTAGGTGTAGGCTTTGGTCCAAGATTCTGGCGTCGGAACCTCATTAACCCTACACTTCTTGAAAAACTTGTTAATATTAAAAGTTGTCAGATAGGCTTACAATAAAAATAATTTCTCTTATACAGGATGTACCAGAAACCCCGAACATAACCTTAAAACCTGAGAAATATTAATTTGTGATGCACACCAAATTGAAATAGCAGAGCCATTTTGTTTTTGACAAATAGGGGATAGATTACCCGTTCTAACTCATCTTTGAAATAGATCAAAAGTTAACTTTGATATTAGGTGTCAAAAGGAACCCTATAATTAACACTATTCAATCGAGAAATGGAAACTATTCAATCGCAATTACTTTCTATACCAAAAATTAAAAAAAAACGCGAGATTTCAGTCGTTTTTATCAGCAAAGCTCTATCACTACTTTGATGTATGAAAATCAAGGGTGGCTATGAACTGGAATGTGAATGACACAAATAAAACTATACCATTCCGTTTGACCACGCCCATAAATAACAAGTTTTTTGAGAAATGCATAGTTAAGTATCTTTCGACGCCAGAATCTTGGGGCATCCTGTATATTCATTTTTTGTCAATTGAGAGGTCGCTTGATGTTTCGTGGAATATTTTGCAAGAAAGTGAAACCTAGAGAGAAACCATTAACTATCAAGAAAATTTATATTGACATTGATTCTAGCCATCGGAGGCCTCCGAAACAAAAATACAGCTACCCGTTTTGGATGACGTCGAACCACCAGCGAAGAGATTGCGTGAAAAAATTGACTTAGAGAAATGATCAACTTAACATTTGAACACCCTTTGTTTTCTTTTTAAACAGTGTGGCGTTTGTATAAAGAAAAGTCGTCGCGAGCACTTTTGGAACAATGTGAAAGTTGATAGGCAAAAAAAGCATGTATTAATTTTTTTGTACATATGGTTATATACTAACTTTTTTAACAATAACGAACGAAAAATAAATTTCATCTCTTCAGTGGTTTACGTGTTTATTCTGCTGCTGATATAATTTTTGGATTAAATTTGTATAAAGCCTTGTATTTCGTACATAAATCTCAATAAGAATTCTGTCAAGTTAATGGAAATAAAGAAATATTTTGTATATGTTTGTAGACAGAATCATTCCATAAGTACGTAATTTAAAAATAGTTTGTGAGTAAATTGTTACATGAAATACATAATACTATTACGTTTTCAGGATTCAAATATTTAGTACGAAGGATGCCTATAAATTTTAGGGTAAGTTTTGCTATTAAGATTGATTTAAATGATAATTATAAATATCTTTTTTGTTTAGTGATGCGAGTAATTGTATTTTTAATATTTTTTCAGTTATATCAAATTTTTGTCTTATTTTATGTTCATCTATGAATTTTAATAGTTTGTAAGAATTGTCACGATGGTTTTGTCTTTTCTAATTAAATATAAAAATTTTTATTTTTTATTTCAATATGGTCGCTCGTATGTACAGGTAGGATCAAAAGTTATGTCCTACAGATACATCAATTCTACCATTTTCTTTACAATTTATTTCAACTTCGTTTCTAAATTCAAGTTAGTCTTGAAATAACCAAAGCACCATAAAACCAGAAAAATTAAATTTTGGTTTATACTTGCACAAAGCACACTGGCAATTTTCGAGATTTGATACATCTATGTGTGTAAGATCATAAGCTGGAAGAGGCTTCCATGCTCTCGATGAAATAATACTGATGAAAAGAGCAAATGAGCAAGATTATTTTTTTGAAAAATATAAATAAAATGAGCAAAGGATGAAAATGGTAGAACCATACGCACCGAAAATATTGAGCTCAGTTTTTTTTGGAGCAGGTTAGACGCAAGCTGACGAACCAAGGAGACATGTATTGGTGCGACAAAGCGATATAGCATACATTCAAAAATGAACACTTTGCAACTAGTAACACGTCACATAAGAATGGCCGAATGTTATACTTCAGAAAGTAGTAATTGGATGGTGGTGGATTCATAACCTTGGGTCTATTTCATGTTTTCTGATCTACTTAAGGGACCTTATGTACGATAAAAGGCGGTTAAAATTACGAATGTGATAGACAAACGATACTTGGTACAAAACAACATCGCATTTTCAGATAATAAAAATGTGACATAGGAACACCCTATATAGTGATTTTATTAAATCTTAATTATTTCAGTTATGTTTATCTGTGGTTATTTGAAGTATTTTGGACCTATGTCTATGATTTTGGATATGAAACTTTGAAGCTGTCATATGATGTATATAATCTTACTCGTAGATATAATCAAAGACTATACAGGGTGTCTGATGTCACTTTTTTGTTATCTGAAACATGCGACGTTATTTTGTTTTTTTAATTAAAGATTGGGATTCCGTGGAAAATACACCTTTGTTAATTGAACGGTCTTCCTAACTCATACAACTAGGAAAGTTAGCAATAGTGCTGACCCAATTTGGAAGGTACTGATAGAATAAACAATCCTATCCCAATGAACATTTTGAGTTTTGAAAGAGTCACTGTTATATTACAGTTACCACATAATAGAACATATAGTTATATAGTAAATAGCTTGAAATTATTACATCACCAATATAAACCTTTTAAAGAGCTTAAATGGCTGTCTCTATAACGGTTTCGGTGCCTTTTTTATGTTTTTATATACAACTAAAAGATTTATAAGTGGTAGTGATGTAAATGTGTTAAGAAACATTACATCACCACCTTATAAAACTGTTTGAAGTGGGAGGTGTTTCCGAAAAGTGATATAAGTGTTTACGTTACTTTTGTGTAACTGTTTCCTAGTGGTTGTGGTGACTTCCTAATTACTAACCTGTGTAACTACTTGATGTGCGCATGTTGTAAATTCTGTTCAGGTTTTCTCTTTTTCTTTAACGGAGTATCAATTTAGTGGAGACTTGTTGTTTCTGTCTCGCCGCGTGATACTTGGTGTACTAATTGTAACATGGTTCCCTAATGTATATTGGCATGGTGATCTATATTTTTTACACTTGGTGTTTTATGTCCGTTGGCCAAAAAAATATGCCGACTCCACTTTATCGACTCAAATATCATTATACCTCAAAAAAATGTAAGCGCCCTTAAAATGTAATTGTTTTTGAGAAAAAATATAGGAGATTTAGCTGCTCAGTTTTCACCAGTGGCGCGTTATTTTTTAGTAACGAAACAGTGCATAAATGTATGTATATTGTAGTAAATAACTACTTAATTTTTTCTACACGAATACTTTATTTGAACAATAGTGTTGCAAAATTACACCTAAGATAATCTTTAAAGAATTTTTGACTCAAAAACTTTTTAACGTTATTTCCGTACGAGCCGCCTATGAAAGTCATAAATGAAATGGAATCCATTTTCTAAAACACGTATGTGTAGGTGCTGTTATATATATTGTAGTAACCTTAGGTTACCAAAAGTTTTAACATCACTGAAATATCACCCTTGGAGATATAATAGCCACAGCCGAGACTTATATACCCGTTTCAGAACCACTAGATCAGCTGTTATTGTTTAGGTACTATTCTTTCTTTCTCACTGTATTATCTCACTGCTGACTGCAGTACCTATCTATAGTTTCAGTTCACACTGTAAAATTTCCTCACATTCTTGGCTTGAATTTCTTCTCCGCAATCTTCATCCCACCATTTTATGGACTTTGTACTTTTATGAAGCAACACACGCGATCAATTCAAACAGTTACATAAAAGCTGTCTCAGTCACTATTATAGAACTTGTAGTAATATCGCATCACTTTCTGGAAATTATGATCACTTTTAGTAATGTAGAAGCGTCAGTAATTTCCTAATAGCTACGTAGTTATATTGAAGTAATTTACATACTCTAATATAAACTCATCACTGACAAGTGATATAAGCAAGTGATATACATTGCTATAAAACTTACTTATATAACTTGAAGTCACAATCGCCAAAAGGTTTATAAGATGATCACCAAAACATTTATATCACTATGGTAATAAAACTTAAGATCCTTCTACTATTAGTAATGCAATACCACTTCTATAAAACCAACATTGCTTTTAGTACTCTTATAAACCTTAATTCTATTTTTATATAACCACAATACCGTTATTCGTCTTTTATAAAACTACACAACACCAAAGGTGGTAATATTTGTTCATTGGGA